AGAGCAATAAATACAAAGGCGATATCCTGATGTATGGAAGGAGGAACATTTAAAAGGACACAAGATATTGGAGATTAGCGGGCTGTTCTGTACTTCTCTTCTGCTCAAATCTGGAGTTGAATACCAAGAAGTTGAAAACTTTCTTTAGAGAAACTGTTCTGCAGTTTCTTTTGGGGGAAGGGGAGAAGAGGATGAGGAAATGTAACTGGCCTTCCTCATACTTTGAAAGTCAGGCAGCATAGCAATAAATTCATATATTTTCTTTGCCTCTTTGTGGGTTTTTCCACAAAATTTCTTTCAAAACAGTGGTTGGATGTGATTTGGCTGTGTGTTACTCCTGATAACCCATGGTTTGTCATGTTAATTTGTTAATAGTGACATACTAAACTTACATATGTCCATAAGTTGGATGTCAAAGTCATTCCTCCAGATTCTGGGCTGTCTGTATGCAGGTGCCTGCCACACCTTTATTTTTGCTGAAACAAGTATCAGAATGCTTTTCTTTTTTGCGTGCTGTGCTAGTTTCTCTGGGGCAGCAGGGTCAGCAGAAGACCTTGGCACAAGGAAGGAAGGAGCAGCACATTGGACCCTTCTCTGTTCCTCTGCCCTTTCCTTTCAGCTTCCAGTAGATGAGTGAATCAAAATCTTCATCAGAAAGGTCCGTGGGCTGCAGGGATTGTTCTTTCTCCTCGAGACAGCCACAGCAGCTCAGTGCCCAGCCTTTGCTGCTCCTTAGCCAGGTGGCCCTGGGCAGGCAGCTTGCCAGGAGCAGTCCCTGACCACCATGATGGGTCCCGGCACGTGGGCTGTCTGGAGAGGGCCAGCTGGCCTGGCCACCACTGCGCTAACAATTTCATGTAGGGGCTGTGGGGACCAGTGTTCAGGCCCTCTTCGTTTGGATGTTTGCATATAGCCTGTGGGCCTGCCTCGCTCTTAAGATGGGATTCATCTTTGCTAATTAGTTTTACAGTCTAACGTAACTGCTTGTGCTTCTGCAGTAGTCAGTGGAGAGAGAAAGGCACCGCTAAGGGACGGTTTGTCTTAGTCTGGTGGTTGTATAAAGTACAACTGCCTGTCTTTCTCTCTCTGCATTGGCAAGAGAAGGAGCCTGGACAGCCACAGGCAGGTCATGTGAATCCATCTGAAACTTCCCCGGTGGAAAAGGACCTGGGGGTGCTGTTTGACAGCTGGCCGAACATGAGCCAGCAGTGTGCCCAGGTGGCCAAGAAGGCCAACAGCATCCTGGCTTGTGTCAGGAATAGTGTGGCCAGCAGGACTAGGGGAGTGATCGTCCCCCTGTACTTGGCACTGGTGAGGCCGCACCTTGAACTGTGTTCAGTTTTGGGCCCCTCACTACAAGAAGGACACTGAGGTGCTGGAGCGTGTCCAGAGAAGGGCTGGGAAAAGGTCTAGAGCACAAGTCTTGTGAGGAGTGGCTGAGGGAACTGGGGTTGTTTAGCCTGGAGAAGAGGAGGCTGAGGGGAGACCTTCTCGCTCTCTACAACTGCCTGACAGGAGGTTGTAGCCAGGTGGGGGTTGGTCTCTTCTCCCAAGTAAGAAGTGATAGGACGAAAGGAAACGGCCTCCAGTTGTGCCAGGGGAGGTTTAGATTGTATATTAAGAAAAATGTCTTCACTGAAAGGGCTGTAAAGTACTTGAACAGGCTGCCCAGGGAAGTGGTTGAGTTGCCATTCCTGGAGGCGTTCAAAAAACACGTAGATGTGGCACTTTGGGACATGGCTTAGTAGGCATGGTGGTGCTGGGTTGATGGTTGGACTTGATCTTAGAGGTCTTTTCCAGCCTTAATGATTCCATAATTCTAGAAGATAGTGCTAACCAGACAGAAGTCTGGGGAAATGTTTCTCTCTTAGGCAGCTTTACTACTTACTGCCGGGGAGTCTTGCTGGTGGGTGGAAACCATTGTGCCCGTTCAGAGCTGAGGAGCAAAGGTGAGGGCTTTCATCCTGCTGAGGAGTGCTGTATTGCAGGTGCAGCCAGGGGCAAACAGGTGATCGATCGCCTGTGGGGTGGGCAAGGGTCAAACTTCCACATAAAGCTTCTTATGAGCCTTTTGAGTCAGTTGCACTGCAGAAGAAATTAGAGATCAGCCCTGAGATGCTACACAATGTTTTACATGAAATAGGATTGGTTCATCTCTAAAGCTGCCCCTCCTTTTAGAGGATCTTGCCTTTGTGTCATGAGTACATGCTTGGTTTATACTTTGGCAGTGGTGTCTGTAGATGTTTCTTGCTCCCCTTACCATTCGTCTTTCCTCTCCCTTCTGTATTTAAGCATTTATCCTGCTCTTTTCCCTGCCCCAGGTTACAATGGAGCATTTCTGGCACTCGGATTTATTACCTTCTTTAGTATGTTTACATGTTTTGAAAGTTTGGGGAATTCGCTGCCTTTTGTGGAGACACTGAGCATCTTGCACTCTAGCCCTTTGATAGCTTCCCCCTCACCTCCTTCTCCTCCTCTTTGTTTGCTTCAGCCAGTGACCTCTGAAACTACTTCCTTTCACTTCCATCCTGCTGTTCAGTGACTAAATACAGTCCCCTCTGGCTTTAATTACTCAGCTGCTCCTCTGCTCCCAGTTGAGCATCGCTGCCAGCGACTTGTCCCCCTGGCCCTGATGTGCGTCTCACTGCTCCATTGTCTGCTCCCCCTCTTGTGTCTTAGTGATAAAAATACTGCAACAGCATTTTGTTGCTTGTTGGAGGTTTGTCGTTTTCCTCTCCCTTAGGAGTTTACCCCTAATGAGAAACAGGGAACGTTTCTCTGCCGAGAGTGAGCCTGGGAGCCTGGCTGTGCCAGCGCCGAGGAGTGGCCTTCCTCTTCCGCTAGCACCAGAGCTGCTGTCCCGGCAGCTGTTGGAGTGGGACCCTCTAGGAGGAGGGAGGCCATTCCCCTGCCCTTCCCTTCCCCCAGTGAGACTTCTGCCAAGCCAGAGGAGGCCAAGGAAACTTAGAGCTGGCTGAGGGGAGGAGGGGGCCAGGCAGCATCTGTGAGCAATGGCTGCTGCTCGGTCAGGTCTTGTTGGGTGGCTGGAACTGGATAAGGTGGATCAGAGAAAAGTTCTGCAGGTGCAAGGAGATAGGGTAGTCTAGAGACTTTAAGCCAAAATACCTAATTTTCCTGGTTTGTCATTCTTGAAGAGAGTCTGGAGCTTGAAGGCGGAGTAAGGGGCTGGTGCACTCTCTAGCTCTGCAGATGTTTATAGCTGAGGGGCTGAGCTGGCAGCTGGGCTTCCCTTGCTGTGTCAGATGGCTGTTGCCAGGCCTTTTTTCCATTAATTTGTCTAATCCTTTTTAATTTATGCATGCTTCTGGCATCTAGGAGGTTTCCTGTGGCGATGAGTTCCACAGTTGGGTTATGCAGCATGTTATGTTCACATGAGAGCCCTCTGCTCCAAGATAGACATTGTCCTGTATAGGAATACACTGAACTACTTCCAGGTATGCCTGTACTGTAACTTTTGTCCAGCATTAGTGAGCTTGCAACATTTTAATCCTACCAATACTGTGGAAGATGCACAACCAAGAGAGATGATGAGGCCTCAGTGTATGCTACTGAGTTGGGGTCGATTTTTTTTTTTTTTTTAATTGTTCTTGGATGTTTGTAAAGTGACTTGTTTGATTTCTAGGTGGCTCTGGGAGGAGGCAACTCAGCTGTGCTCTCTAATGTCATTGATGAGCTTGTAAGGTTTCGCACAAAGGTTCGTCATTATGCGCTTGCTCTGCCGGAAGAAGGAGCAGAAGCTGTGCCAACGGAGGGTGCTGTGGGAACTAAAGCAACAAAACAAGAACAGAAGCAAAAGAGGCAGCAATTAATGCAGGAGAGAAAACCCCTCCTGGAGGCTTGCGACAGTCTGCGTGGAGACCTTGCTGCCTTTGGAATCCACATAAAGGTAGAAGACAGTGACCTTCTTTGTGAGACTGTTAGTCACTTTTTAAGATGCTGTTTATTTTTGGCCTTCGTGCCCCTTTGGCAGCTTTCAGCGTTGTGCCCTGCTCCCTGTACAACTGTAGTAGCAGGAGGTGAAAGTTACGCCCCTGCCTGGCTGGACTGCTGGCTTTATCTTCTGCTCCCTGTCAGCCTTGTGTCTCTGTGCAAGCTGTAGCTACTTCTGCAGTTACTAAGGATGTCTTATTTAGCCTCTGGAAATCCTGTAATGTTCCGAAATCCCTAAGTTACCCAAGTTCAATCCAGAAGGAAAGGTATGAGTAATATGTTCAGTCTTTAAAAATGTAGATTGAAAAGGAACTAGAAAGCAAACTGAGATGGCTTATGAAAATAATGCCTTCCCTCTACCCTCCCCGCATGCCCCCACCAAAAATGGTAAGTCCTCACAAGAAAGCCTCTTCCATCATCAGCAGCTCCATTCCTGAGCCGTAAGTTTGACTGATTCCTGTACCACTCCTCTCTCCACTCTGCTTTCTACTTTTAGCCTATACCTAATGCCACTGTTCTTTCCATTTTCCATTACCTCAATGGTGTCTTCTGCTCAAAAGAAAATCCCTTCATTAGCTTACTATCTCTTCCTGGTTTCAAGGTGCTACGTTACTTCTTTAAGGGGTGCTGCTTCTTCCAGTTCCTCTTGCTTCACTGCACTTCTCACCTCAGCCGTAGCCCTTGTTGGGTCAGTGTTGCTCCTTACGTGAAGAATAATCCTCTGCTTTGTCTCCAATGTCTTTCTCCCTCCAGTTCATGCTGCTCATTTTTTTTCCCCTCGCTCTGGAATTGAGCCTTGTGTTGTCATAGAATCATAGAGTCATTTAGGTTGGA